GGGTTAGGGTCAGAAGGTCAGTGTGCCAAGATAGATTGGGGGCCACTGTTGCTAATATATAATATAACATATTAATATGCCATTTAGCAGACGCTTTGTAGGTCGATGATATGGTGGTGGATGAGTGGTTAGCAGCTGTGTGGTACAGAAGGACATTGGAAGGGCGTTATTATAAACGGAGAGATTTTCTATGGAAGTCATTCACGTGACAAGAGGCTACGTCCGTACCACCTGTCATATGATCCAGTACTGAAATAAATGTAAATCAAATCTCCAGCTGAGTGTCGACTGCTCTCTTGCATCCTGAACTTCTCAATACCAGATGACACAATGCATTATTTATCATTCATTTCTATTGGGCACAAAATAATCCTGACACACAACCGAATAAACAGCAAATGCATCCAACAAGTTTGTAGAGTCACAAGCTTGATGTAGTCATTGCGTGTTATGAATATGGGACCAAATACTACACTTTTGACTACTTTAATACATAAGTGAATTTGTCCCAATACTTTTGGTCCCCTAAAATGGGGGGACCATGCACAAAAAGTGCTGCAATGTCCCTAACGGTTCACCCAAAATGGATGAGAAATACCCTCAAATTAAAGCTGACAGTCTGCACTTTAACCTCATAGGCATTGTATCATTTCAAATCCAATTTGCTGGAGTACAGCCAAAACAAACAAAAAAGGTCACTGTCCCAAGACTTTTGGAGCTCACTGTATCTAGTTAATGCCAGAGTGGAGAATACTAGTTAGATTGTCTCTCTCTTCTCTATACTCCCTCTTCTCATCGCTATGAGATCGCGTACGCGATCTCGCTCGCCTCATCTCTTCATTAGCGCTCTCTTCAGAGAGATACTCTCTTCCATCCATCTCTCTACATCTCTCGCGTCCATCTCTACGTCTCCGCTCTCACCATCTCGCTCTCTCTCTCTCTCTCTGCTGCCTCTCTATCTCTCTCTCTCTCTCTCTCTCTATCTCTCCTTTGTGATTAGTTCTAATAAAACACTGATGTTACAGTGCCTTCATAAAGTATTCACAGCCCTTGACTTTTTCCACATTTTATTGTGTTACAGCCTGAAGTTAAAATGTATTAAATTTAGATTTTGTGTCACACCCATACGCATAATGTCAAAGTGCAATTGTATATAGACATTTTTACAAATTTGTTAAAAATGAAACGCTGAAATGTCTTGAGTCAATAAGTATTCAACCCCTTTGTTATGGCAAGCCTAAATTAGTTCAGGAGTAAAAATGTGCTTAACAAGTCACATGGACTCACTCTGTGTGAAATAGTGTTTTACATGATTTTTGAATGACTACCTCATCTCTGTACCCCACACAATTATCTTTAAGGTCCCTCAGTTGAGCAGTGAATTTCAAACACAGATTCAACCACAAAGACCAGGGAGGTTTTCCAATGCAAAGAAGGGCACCTATTGGTAGATGGGTAAAACAATTTAAAGCAGACATTTGATAGGGAGCATGGTAAAGTTCTTCATTACATGTTGGATGCTGCATTAATACACCCAGTCACTAAAAAGATACAGGCCTCCTTTCTAACTCAGTTGCCGGAGAGGAAGGAAACTGCTCAGGGATTTCACCATGAGGCCAATGGTGACTTTAAAACAGTTACAGAGTTTAATGGCTGTGATAGGAGAAAACTGAGGATTGATCAACAACATTGTAGTTACTCCACAATACTAACCTAATTGACAGTGAAAAGAATGAAGCCTGTACAGAATACAAATGTTCCAAAACATGCATCCTGTTTGCAATAAAGCAATAAAGTAATACTGCTAAAAATGTGGCAAAGAAATTCACTTGATGTCCTTAATACAAAGCGTGTGTGTTTGGGGGTAAATCCAGCACATCACTGAGTACCACTCTTCATATTTTCAAGCATGGTGGTGGCTGCATCATGTTATGGGTATGCTTGTCATTGGCAAGGACTAGGGAGTTTTTTAGGATAAAAAGAAACGGAATGGAGCTAAGCACAGGCAAAGTCCTAGAGGAAAACTTGCTTCAGTCTGCTTTTTAACAGACACTGGGAGATGAATTCACCTTTCAGCAGGACAATAACCTAGAACACAAGCCCAAATATACACTGGAGTTGCTTAACAAGAAGACATTGAATGTTCCTGAGTGGCCTAGATACAGTTGACACATATCGGTTTGAAAATCTATGGCAAGACTTGAAAATGGTTGTCTAGCAATGATCAACAACCAACATGACTGAGCTTGAAGAATTTTTAAATGAATAATGTGCAAATATTGTAAAATCCAGGTGTGCAAAGCTCTTAGAGACTTACCCAGAAAGACACACATCTGTGATCGCTGCCAAAGGTAATTCTAACATGTATTGACTCAGGGGTGTGAATACTTATGTAAATTAGATATTTATGTATTTACATTACATTTGACATTTTAGTCATTTAGCAGACGCTCTTATCCAGAGCGACGTACAGTTAGTGAGTGCATACATTTTTATTTTTTATTTTATTTTCATACTTTCAATAAATGTGCAAACATTTCTAAAAACATGTTTTCACTGTGTCATTGTGGGGTACTGTGTGTAGATGGGTGAGAGATGAAAAAAGCAATCCATTTTGAATTCAGGGCTGTAACACAACAAAATGTGGAATAAGTCAAGGGGTATGAATACTTTCTGAAGGCACTTTACCAACCTCTCGTTCTACTCCTTACAAGCTCTCTAGTCTAGTGCTTATTGGAGTATAAAAATATCCCACCAGTGAGAGATTAAATCAGCCCTAAGGAGATCTGAAACACACTACAGTCACACATACACAAGGGAACCATGTCACGAAGACGCTAAATACAGTACTTGGCTATGATGATATTTGACAGTGATCCTATACCCAGTATAATGATGTTCTAAATCGGTCTGTCTGAATAATCTGTCCTCTCAATTTCAATCGCTTCCTTCACACCTAGTTCCTTTGTTGCTGCACGTGGATTCTACAACGCATTCCAGATAATAACACCTATAGTGATTTAATAAGATCTCTACGTCGTAAACCCTCAGAGTTCCGGAATGGGGTGGCAGCCATATTGGTCAGGGAGAAATCCAAACCAGTCTAATGGGAATGAATGGCAGTAGAGTTCCGGAATGGGGTGGCAGCCATATTGGTCAGGGAGAAATCCAAACCAGTCTAATTGGAATGAATGGCAGTAGAGTTCCGGAATGGGGGTGGCAGCCATATTGGTCAGGGAGAAATCCAAACCAGTCTAATTGGAATGAATGGCAGTAGAGTTCCGGAATGGGGGTGGCAGCCATATTGGTCAGGGAGAAATCCAAACCAGTCTAATGGGAATGAATGGCAGTAGAGTTCCGGAATGGGGTGGCAGCCATATTGGTCAGGGAGAAATCCAAACCAGTCTAATTGGAATGAATGGCAGTAGAGTTCCGGAATGGGGTGGCAGCCATATTGGTCAGGGAGAAATCCAAACCAGTCTAATTGGAATGAATGGCAGTAGAGTTCCGGAATGGGGTGGCAGCCATATTGGTCAGGGAGAAATCCAAACCAGTCTAATTGGAATGAATGGCAGTAGAGTTCCGGAATGGGGTGGCAGCCATATTGGTCAGGGAGAAATCCAAACCAGTCTAATGGGAATGAATGGCAGTAGAGGTGTAGCAGGGTTGGTTATGTTTAATCAGAGTCATAATCCTGATTTTACTATTACAGTTGATATGGGTTTTATACACATTTTCTGTATAAATGTACGCTTTTTGTCTTGGAAAGCTGTGAGCGCTATATGATACAATATCAGTACTTGTTTAATTTACAACTTGTCTAAATCCTATCGTCAACTGATTTCAGCCAGTGTGTGGCTGTGGATTGACTGCATTGTTTGAACTGAATGTTGGCATATTGGCAGTTCATTTGAAAAATGGATGGAATCATTCCTCTAAAACTGGCTGGCTACCTATCAAACATACAGATGCAGATACATTCTTAATTCGTCTCTTTTTTTTACACAATATCTTATCACAGCACTGGCATATCATGGTTAACCAACTCCCTGAGCTTTATTCCCGTCATAAGAAGGTTGATGTCCATTCTAGTATTCTAATTCCTAATTCTAGAACACCAATCCACTTTCCGTTTTTCGGTGTTGAACATATACACATCCTACCTGTTGTTATGAGCTAAAATGTGTTCATGAAATACATTCTGCTCCTAACAATAAATGTAACAAAAAATATATACTTCGAAATAAATCTTATCCTAGCCATACTGTAGAGAGCCTCCATACTCACTTTTTGATCATGCCTGTGATGACATTCCATTCTCTCTAAACATGATAAACAATCATTGGTAGCTTAGTGGTTAAGAGCGTTGTGCCAGTAACCGAAAGGTCGCTGGTTCTAATCCCCGAGCCGATTAGGTGAAAAATCTGTCGGTGCCCTTGAGCAAGGCACTTAACCCTAATTGCTCCTGTAAGTCGCTCTGGATAAGAGCGTCTGCTAAAATGTAAATATAAAATATGGTAGAGACGTGTGATTTGAACAATTGTTTTTCTGACTGAATTTTCTATTGATTGGACATGTTTGTATAAACCTTGAATTAATCGTTTTATGGGTGAACACCCTATATACAGTTTCTTATTGGAACATACAACCGTGTAATTGCCTTTTTTTTTATTTTAAGTAGATTGAAACAGACAGATATTAATTGTAAGAACCAGTTCTTTATTGTTCGAAGCGTTTCCAATAAATGGCAATGACACGTATCAAAGAATGGTTTAGAATAATCCAACGAGCTCGGATGTGATTGGCTCGTAGGTCTCACTCCTACCCACTTAACCACTCCCCCCAACACAGCACTGTCAATAACACCATAAACAGACAGTATGAGAAAACAATCATGTATTGTCACATTAACCGATACCTGTCGAATTGAGCTATAGTTTCTCTCCTGACATCCATTTAATGTAAACATAGCCATACATTACATTTCATACCAGGTCGCTTTACAAGTCTATGGGTGGCTCGGTCCCACTGAATGTGTCACAGAAATCATTGAAGTCTTTCTGCATGAAGTCTTCACTCTGCATCACATCGTTTTCTGACGGGAAATACTGCATACTGTTACTCTCCTGCTCCTCTTGGTACAAGTCCTCTAAACTGAAGAAGGGCAACTGCTGGCACTTGGCCAGTTCTCGGGGGAAGAACCGTGCTGGTGTTATTGTGAGATCTGGACTGTCGAGGAGGGCGCCCCTTGCGTTTTCCAGCACGCCTAGATACGAGTCCATGTCCGTGGAATCCGTTTCGCAGTCAGACCCACTGTCTGTGCCGACGGAGTCCGAACGCATATGCATCATCTGGTATTTTTCATGCATCAGGAACTGGTTGGTGTTCCTCGGAGCTCTCATACCTGGCGCTCTGTTTCCTTTGATGTTGACAGGACGCAGTGACGTCATCAGACGAGGTGGTCTCTGTGTTGGTCGGTTCTGTCTGTAGAACTGTCTGGGGTGGTGAGGATGATGGTGATGAAGAGGCCCGTGTACCCTTCCTCTCTTCCCCCGATAGCCTTGCTGCCTCCTCCCGTTCTTAGGCCAACTAAGCTTGCTGTTGTCCCCTCTCCTCGCCGGCTGCCCTTCCTTCTGTTGGTATTTGCAGCCAGATCTGTCACTGCAGACTCGCCTTTGGCACATCGTCGTGCCCTTCCCAAACATATCTTGTTCGAATAGCATTGGAAATGCAGCTACGTGCTTCCCCGAGCTTCACATTCTCATTCTAGTAGTAATAGTAATTTCTCTGCATGGGGTTTCGTATAAGTTCGTGGATCACCACACGAATACCCCTAAAAGTCTACCTTTTTACAATCTTCGTTTTTTTCTTGACCACTGGCTTTGGAGAGTACATAGCCTGGTAGCGCGCCTCTGATACATGCAGTTTGATCTGCTCGCCGCTACAGCTGCGCTATCTAGCCTGTCAAACCCCTTTTCTCTTGTCTAATTTCCTAAAATAGTACAATTTTATAAAGACACCTTAATAAGTCGAAAGATGCAGGTGTGTTTATTCCTTATTCTAGTTAGTAGCTTGCTTGCTTGCTTGCTTGTTACCGTCTTTTTGTGTGTCTTGTCCAACTGAAGTGCCAGTTGCAAACGCTCACTAGAACGGGCGCTGGAGAGGTTTATATAGAAGAGGAACGTTCGACTGTTAGCTAGAGACACGGGGGTGTTTGATGTTTCACTGATGTCCGAAACTTCAAATAAATCCAATAAATAGATATTTAGAATCCGATTTATTTATGACAATTCCCCTTATTTTATGTGAAAATAGCAAAGAAATATTTGACAACAATCAAAACTACTAATCTAGCGGGAATTAGAAGAAAAAAATACTTTTAGTAATAGACTAGTCCAGTTCTTTTTATGACATTGTCATAGTACTAGGAATTAGAATAGTAATTGAATTGGATCTCTGTGGGCTTTGTTACATTGTTGTTAATCTTGTTGTTCAATGCAGGTGAAGACACTGGATGAGAAAGTTTGGTGATACAATGTAGCCAGTTTACTGAATAAAAAATAAAAATACTTGATCCAATGTTATATTGTTATAATGTTCTACTGTCAAATGGACACCGATACGGTTATAGAGCAATAGGTCTGGCAACATCAGCCATGCCCCCAAAACAGTGATTGTTAAAACATAGGCTACATTGAGCATTTGTGTTTATATAATATCTTTGTTTGCAATACAAAGTAGAGAGTTGGGGGAATCACACGACAAAGCACACATGTGCTCCATTGCAGTGTTGCTTTTAAAGTTGCAGTAATAGCATTGTGTATTAGGCTAGGCTATGGTCAATCTATGCTTTACAAACGGTCAAAACATGCATGATAAGGTACCCGCCCCCTGGCTCAATGAAAAAACAAATGCCCTATAATAATATAATATAATATGCTATTTAGCAGACGCTTTTATCCAAAGCGACTTACAGTCATGCGCGCATACATTTTTTACGTATGGGTGGTCCCGGGGATCGAACCCACTACCTTGGGGTTACAAGCGCCGTGCTCTACCAATTGAACTACAGAGGACCTGTAGAAAGCATTGCTATATGTACATGGACAGACAGCTATATCTCCGGAATTAATAAATTACCTCCAATTAATCAGAGACAATGTAGTGGTGGCCTGGTGGGCACAGACGCCACATCAGCATTTTGTCATGCAGTTTATATCACCCAGTTAAATGGTTGAATGATTACATTATTCCCCCGTCACATTTTGGAAAATGACTTTCTGAACTGGTTGAGAGTTGAGAAACTCGACGATCCACATATACAGTTATTTCTAGATCTAGATAAACCTATTGCTGGATAAGTATGTAATCTAATCTTTATCAAATATTCAGCAATGGCTGGCTACTAAATCATGCACTGCCACTGGTAATATAAATCATGCACTGCCACTGGTAATATAAATAATGCACTGCCAGTGGTAATATAAATCATGCACTGCCAGTGGTAATATAAATCATGCACTGCCATTGGTAATATAAATCATGCACTGCCACTGGTAATATAAATAATGCACTGCCACTGGTAATATAAATCATGCACTGCCAGTGGTAATATAAATCATGCACTGCCAGTGGTAATATAAATCATGCACTGCCAGTGGTAATATAAATCATGCACTGCCACTGGTCATATAAATCATGCACTGCCACTGGTAATATAAATCATGCACTGCCACTGGTAATATAAATCATGCACTGCCACTGGTAATATAAATCATGCACTGCCACTGGTAATATAAATCATGCACTGGTAACAGGACAGTCCACAGAACTAGCTGGAAAATGACAGCTCCTCTAGATCTGTTTAGCAAACTGGCCTCAGCATAAATCCGAGGCTTTGAATAAAGTTTTCTGGGTTTGAACCAGACTGCAGCTGGCTGTCTGTCACAACAAAGATGGAGGAGAAAGCTAGCTAGCGGTGTACATCCCGAGGACCTTAGCTAAAATGAAACGGACTCGTTTCTCTTATGATTGTGTTTTTTGATATCGTGATTTCAAGATGGATGAGGCCAGATTTCCTGAGGATGTCGTTGAGAAAAATATTTTAATTGTTGGGTCGGAGCTCGTGGATAATTACATGATGTAGCTAGCTAGTTTTAGCTATTTATCTAGTAAAGCTTGCAAGTAACGTTACATATAACGTTAGTGATAAGTTGCGTCAATTCAAATCTGGTATTGGGAACAAAAGAGGTCAACACGACTTCTAAAATAGACTTGTATTTTAATTAATGCAAAACACTTCAATGGTAAATATGATGTTCGTATATACGGGTCCACTGAAATACCACGCAGGGCAGACAGAGAACTGAACCATTTGTTATAGGTTATTCTTTAAATACTCTGACAGAGATAGTTCCCGCTCCCTGCTGGGCCTGTCAGAGTAGAGTCTGAGCGTGGTTTAGACTTACTCAGCCTATCGTTGGCGCACAGGCTGGTCCCAGCCCCTTGGCGCTTCACTGTTGCACACTGTTGCCAGGCATAAGTTGTTATCATCACAACTTGTCCAGAGAGTCAGCACTTTTGCAGTCCTTGAGCGTTCTAACAAAGAGGCAGTGTTCGTGTCTGTGTGAGACACAAGTCTTATCTCATCCCTACCCCCTAACAGTTCCTCACATTAATCACAGCTTGTTATGTTAAATAGTCTATATCAGTACAGCACAAACCTATCATGTTTAATCATTAATGCTTTCTTATTAAGCTAACAGCACATCTAAAATATATGAGAATAATTTCCCACATTAGCGAGCAATCAAAGTACTGTAACATCAAAGATTTTTATAACTAACCCTCATTACTCATTTATCGGTGGTAACGTTATTTAACTTGCTAAAATAATCCCAAACATTACAACTGCATGCCTGCTACAGATTAAAAAGCCAGTTGCTATTTAAAATGTAACTAGCGATGCGTACATGAACTTGCATGATAATGGTGTGCAAGGTACACACACATTCTGGTTCTTCTCTCAGTAATATTCAACCTATAGAGAAAACACAGATCAGTGTGATTAACCCTGTGTCTGACATGACCTGCCCTGAATCTTCATGTCTTGTCCAGGTGTACATAACCTCTACTATAATAATAATATATAGAATTCCGCAAAAGGTTTTATCCAAAGCGACTTAGTCATGCGTACATGCATTTCCCGTATGGGTAGTCCCGGGAATTGAACCCTCTATCCTGACGTTGGCGCTCCACGCTCGACCAACAGAGGACCACATGAATATGTATTTATTCTCCAGGTGTACCATCATTGAGGTGACAGTCGGGGACCACAAGTGGATGATAAAGCATCGCTACAGTGATTTCCGTGATCTGCATGAGAAAGTGAGTGACATGAATAATGCATAATATTATGATGTAAAACCATGACACTATCGTCAACATGTAACCTGTATTATATTGTATCGGACTGTCATGTCTCATTAACATACTGTATTACATTGTATCGGACTGTCATGTCTCATTAACATACTGTATTACATTGTATCAGACTGTCATGTCTCATTAACATACTGTATTACATTGTATCAGACTGTCATGTCTCATTAACATACTGTATTACATTGTATCGGACTGTCGTGTCTCATTAACAAACTGTATTACATTGTATCGGACTATCATGTCTCATTAACATACTGTATTACATTGTATCAGACTGTCATGTCTCATTAACATACTGTATTACATTGTATCAGACTGTCATGTCTCATTAACATACTGTATTACATTGTATCGGACTATCATGTCTCATTAACATACTGTATTACATTGTATCAGACTGTCATGTCTCATTAACATACTGTATTACATTGTATCAGACTGTCATGTCTCATTAACATACTGTATTACATTGTATCGGACTATCATGTCTCATTAACATACTGTATTACATTGTATCGGACTATCATGTCTCATTAACATACTGTATTACATTGTATCGGACTGTCATGTCTCATTAACAACTGTATTACATTGTATCAGACTGTCATGTCTCATTAACATACTGTATTACATTGTATCAGACTGTCGTGTCTCATTAACATACTGTATGTATTATTACACCCAGATGATTATTATTAGCGCCGCCACATCTTAACTCTATGTGTTAAATTGTAACAGTGACAGTCATATTCTAGTTTTTATGCTACAATTTATTGTGACCTTAATTGACATGTATACGTCTATTTCCCTTCCCCCAAGCTAACAGCTGAGAAGAAGATAGACCGAATAAGATGATATTTTAGAAAACGGTAAAAACTCCAAAAGCCTGGTAGACAAACGGCAGAAGGAACTGGATGTCTACCTACAAACACTGCTGGTCAGATTCCCTGTAGCCGCCCCGGAAGTCCTTTCCTGCTTTCTGCACTTCCACCAATATGTAAGGACAAACACACAAACTCACACACACACACACACACACACACACACACACACACACACACACACACACACACACACACACACACACACACACACACACACACACTGGTCTGATGTTGATATGTAATATGTCAGATGGGTTTTTCACTTGTCAGTGCCCTTTGGTCCATGGTGCACAGGTCAGACCAGGCGTGTGTAATCTCATGAGTTAGTCGTAGCAGTAGTGTGGTGGTTAATATTACCAAGGGTTGTTTTGAGTCATGCAGGAAGGATTCTACTT